TGATGCTTGACATGCAATGAAACATGTAAAAACACATCATGCACATAAATATAAACACATACACAATCTCATACAGTGCTTTCTTGAACAGTATTGCATCATTCCCCTACCAGTATGACCTATGTTGGGTGTTGGATTGCGGTCCGTGGTTCGACACATAAACTTCCCCAGTACCAGTCCGTGTTTTCAGGAGAGTGGCTATTTTGCAATGCCAAAACAACAGGGAATCTACTAATACGCATCCACACTCAGCAGGGATAAACAGAACCAGATGAGTTGTGTTATTGGTTGCGTCAGGGCTGCAAAGGATGGATGGATGGATGCAACGGGACAGTTGTGCCAAAGCCAGGGAGTGAAACAAACACACGCCCACACACATGCGCACGCACACACACACTCATGCAAACACACGCATACGCATATGCACGCGTGCACACACACGTGCACACCACACACACACACACACTCCTCCTCGTACCCCTACAAGCACAACACAACATATGTGTTTGTCATGAGTATTCAAAGTTTACAGTGGTCGTCAACAGATTCATGGGCTCAGCATTATACATCTGGCTAACCGACTATACGGGTGTAAACAATAACATTGGTGCATCATGGGAGGATAGCCTTCTGATGATAAGGCTGACTGAGATGGATAGATAGATTAGGAGGAGAGAAAGAGAGAGCGGCCGGCAGGCATGCATGCACAGACAGCAAAGGGAAAGTTGCTGGATCATCCTCCCACAGTTCATTCTACCAGACCTTTGGGCATACACCCCACATTCACAACAGTTAGCCATAGACAGGTTCCAGTGGCTGTAAACTATATGGAAAAGAAAAATGCTAGATTGGCTATATAAACCCAGCAGGCCTCTCCACACAGAGTCTCATATAGACAGCGAGCCAGCTGCCCTCTGACTGGTCCTGTATGAAAACACAGCCGTGCCGCTGTGCACCGTGACAGGAAAGGCAAGGTCGAGACATAACGTGGCCTGGACAAGGAGATGGTCTGGAACCATCGATTGCAAGTGGAGGGATCGTGTTTCACTGGGGAAGAGAGTGTGGGACGAAGCATGAGAAATCTGTTTTGGAATGGAGAAAAATAGGAAAAGGAGCTTGATAGGATAGTTACAGTATGTGTGTTCAATGTCTGTTTGGTGGGACGTTGATGGAATATTCTCCTAACCCTCAGAAAACTGGACACATGAATGTTCTTGCAACGTTCTCATAAAACGTGTCTAGAACATTAACCTTCAGAAAACTGGACACAGGAATATTCTTGCAACGTCCCATAAAACGTGTCTAGGACATTAATGTTATATATTCTGAGAATATTTTTAACCACATTCTAGATAAATTCTGCTTGACATTAAGGGAATGTTCTCCTAACTTTAATACCAAAACTATTTTACCAGAATTATTTTGCTAGCTAGGATAAAATGTTCCCCTAACGGAAAACTGGACACTCAAACATTAGGGGAACATTATGGGTAACATTACAAAAACGTTCTCTCTCCCTAGAATTTTTAGCTGGGTTACCATTAAACAGAAAACACACACTCTATGCATTAGCCGTTACTATCCTGTGTTTAACAAAGCTTGTTTGAAAAAGAGAGACCTATAGGTAATTAACAGTCCGACACTGGATCGTATTTAGTGACCATCATTAATCAGAGAAGCGTTAGCTGACACACATACACAACTCTGACAGGGCTATAGGCCTGGCATAAACATCCGGTGGTGTGTGTGTGCGTACATGACATAATAAATCATTATGTGTGTGTGTGTGTGTGTGTGTGTGTGTGCTCAACTCCAGCTGTTGTTTATGGAACACTAGGGAATACAGGCAAAGTGCCAGGAGGATAAGTGTACATGTCCGTCACTAAAGGGATAGTAGCCCCCCACCCCCCTTTCTGTCCTCTCTCTCGCTCTGTCTGCTAAGACCTGGGAGAATGAATTTGCTACAAACACTTCATCATACTGTATGTTGACAGCGTAACATCAGCACACAAACCTAACACCTCACACCTCGCATGGCATCTGCTGGTGGGTTTTAACGTTTCGAATCACAAAATAAGCGGTGGCCAAACTTGATATAGTATTAAATAAATAGTACTTATTTTGAGAATCTGTCATTATAAACATTTGCATGTAGAAGAGGAGTTATTATACTTGAATTATGTTGTTATAATGTTTTGTTGCTGTGTGTGAGAGCAGGGGTGTGAGGTGTTATTTCTACAACGATAAAATAGTAATTTAGGCCTAGTGGTACTGGGAACTGAACTCAAAGCAAGTAAGCCATTCAAAAGAGTTGCTGACACCCAAAAGAGAGAAATAGTATAACCACAGTCTCTTTTGTGAAATGTAACACTGATGCTGAGGTCCTTGGATAAAATGACTGAACAGTTAGATTGATGGGATTGGACCAAGCTTGGTGAAAACTGTTGTTAAAGACCATAGGGAGGACCACCAACCTTTATTTTATTGTCAATGGAAAAGTATCCAATTTTTGCTAATTTAAAGCAGAGACTTTGTCCAAAATCAAACAGAAATGTGAGAGTTAAGGACTTTGTTGCATTCGTAGGCCTATTAAGAAAATATATACAGTGAGTATACAAAACATTAAGAACACCTGCTCTTCCATGACAGACCAGGTAAATACAGGTAAAAGCTATGATCCCTTATTGATGTTACTTGTTAAATATACTTCAATCAGTGTAGATGAAAGGGAGGAGACAGGTTAAAGAAGGATTTGTAAGCCTTGAGACAATTGAGACATGGACTGTGTGTGTGCCATTCAGAGGGTGTATGGGCAAGAGAAAACATTTAAGTGCGTTTGAACAGGTTATGGTAGTAGGTGCCAGGCTTGCCAGGCACTGGTTTGTGTCAAAAACTGCAGCACTTCTGGGTTTTTCACGCTCAACAGTTTCCTGTGTGTATCAAGAGTGGTCCACCACCCAAAAGACATCCAGTCAACTTGACACAACTGTGGGAAGCATTGGTGCCAACATGGGCCAGCATCCCTGTGGAACGCTTTTGACACCTTGAGTCCATGCCCCGACGAAGTGTGGCTGTTCTGAAGGCAAAAGGGGGGTTGCAACTCCATTTTAGGAAGGTGTTCCTTATGTTTGGTATACTCAGTATATATACAGTATATAGTGGCTATAGGGCCAGGCGTTTTTCTTGACCACATGACCTGAACAGGAAAAAATCCAGACCATATATTCAGTCACATGGGCAGGAAAAACTCCTGGCCCTAATTCATCACACCTCCACATATTGGAAAATTAAGCTTTGTCACAGCTAACCTGTGTGAGGCCAAAACTAGTCTGCAGCCCCTTCAACACTATGAGAATCATCTGGTACACTTTAGGCTTTTACAAGGTCTTCTCCTTCTCCTGTACTGTACTTGATCCAAGGCTAGGTATGCTTTGCTGGCACACCGGGGAGTACCAGGACTTGGGAAAGGCTATTGGCTATATTTTACACACAAACACAACCCTGCTATGGTGTATTCTACACCTCTTAAATCCTGCATTTAGTTGATGGGCTTTTGTGTTCTTTACCCTTGTCTGGACGTTCACAGAACTTTCATAACTGTTTGATAAGATGATGAATGAGAACATCATGCCTGTGGTAGGGATAATACATGTTTCAATGACCAATGTGTGAGTACTGTGCAACAGATAATTTCACTGTTAGGCTTATAGCCTTTATAGTTTTCTACAGTACCATTGGCAGGAAAGAGAGTGCTTTCCATAGACAACAGCACATTTTCAGGTGTGACATTATTCCTCAACAGTGTCATGACATCTGGCAGATGATATAGTTATCGCTGGAAAAATGTAAGATTGTTGCACATACTGTTTTTGACTTGATGGTGTTTTGTAGCTCATCTAAAATGAAAAAAAGAGAAAGTGGTGGTCAAAGGCAGGCAGCTGGTGAGAGGGTAAAGGTTAATGGGATCCTTTCATATTCGCACATAACTTTTCCCAGTAGCATTATTGCTATCTCTAAAAAATAATTATGATGAAGAAGATAGTAAAACCTCAAACCCTGAAAGTCATAATGATTTTGTAGTGGCCTATGAATTAGACAGTAAATGATAATAGTGTTGAAATAGACTAGAGTAAGAACATGTTTATAAAAAAATAGAATGGTTAAAGGAGCAATCAGCAGTTGCTACATCCATTATTGGACTTATAAATTAAATGATATGTACCCATTGATTCTTGAAAAATATAACTTATAAATGCCTCATGAGCTTAGTTTTTAACTGTCGTACCCCATCAGAACCCAAAGTACAAGCTTGTTTTACTCATTTTGCATTTTAGTCATTTAGCAGACGCTCTTATCCAGAGCGACTTACAGTTAGTGAGTGCATACATTTTTTCATACTGGCCCCCCGTGGGAAATGAACCCACAACCCTGGCGTTGCAAGCGCCATGCTCTACCAACTGAGCTACAGGGGGGACCCATTACTCAAATTTTTGTAAACAAAGTAAATGTAAACAAACACTGTATAGCCTCAAAACATGGTTAAAACTATGATTTTGATATCATGGATGATCAGTCCTTGCATCCATAGCGCTGTCTGTGAATTTGAGTGATTACATTTCCACAGCCCCGTCCCTCAGCTTTTTACTGAAACAGTGGCTTTGTTATTGTTGTAACTGCTGATTGGGCCTCATTATTAAGTATTTTAGATTAGAAAAGCATGTAATTGTCATAACATAATATGCTATGTCTGGAGGCTTCTTATATATAATGGCATGGATGAGAAATTACCTGCAGAAGTTTGTAAATCTCTAAATCTACTGAAACATCGCCCTCTAGGGTAAAAAAAGCCAACATTGTTGAAACGTCATCAACAATGCGACATGTGGGTAAAAGGCATGCGCAGGAAGTCGAACGCTGACAAATTTCAAACTGGGCGGCGGGTAAAAAGATCTGATGAGAAAATACAATACAATAAAAGGATATAAGTAAATAGTTCAAAGATGACGAGCACACTGAAAGGTATTACCCTGAAAGGAAGCGCTGAACTTGTGGCCGAGTTTTTCTGTAAGTATTTGCACCGACTTGGTTTTATTTTTGCCGTTTTTGCGTTTGATCAAAAAAAGGAAAGGCATGCAGCATGAATAACATGGCGATGATTGTCTTTGTGGAAGCTAGCTAACATTGTTTTCAGGTACCACATCCGCATTTGTGCACGGCCATACGTTGTAAATGTATTTACTTTAATCTTAGTTAATAACATCGTGTATTTTGTAACTAAGTTAGCTAGCTAACATAGCTACTTTTAGTTTTAGCTAACGTTAGCTACCTGTGTGGTTGGCTGTAACGTTAAGCTAACTACGTTGTCTTTCTCCCAGCATTCGGTATCAACAGCATCCTGTACCAGCGAGGGATCTACCCTCCGGAGACGTTCTCCCGAGTCACCCAGTATGACATGAGTCTTCAACTCACTACTGACACCAAGCTGAAGAACTACCTGACCAACGTGGTATCTCAACTCAAAGGTACAGAATGAAATAAACGCAATTTAATTGAATTTAGCACATGCGCAGAACGTTATATGGGGGGGGGGCAGGGGTCAAGGACTGCCATCTTATCAGACAGTACAGTGATCTTATCTCTGATCTTAACTCAGAAAACAGTACCCAATTGTCATTATTGAGTAAAAGTAGCGATACCTTAATAGAAAATTAAGTGAAAGTCACCCAGTAAAATACTGCTTGAGTGAAAGTATACAATTATTTGGTTTTAAATATAATAACGTTTCAAAAGTATAAGTCATTTAAAATTCCGTATATTAAGCAAGCCAGACGGCACCATTTTTTTTTTTCATTTAGCAGACGCTCTTATCCAGAGCGACTTACAGGAGCAATTAGGGTTAAGTGCCTTGCTCAAGGGCACATCGACAGATTTTTCACCTAGTCAGCTCGGTGATTAGAACCAGAGACCTTTCGGTTACTGGCACAACGCTCTTAACCACTAAGCTACCTGCCGTTTTTATTTATGGTTAGCCAGGGGTCAACAGCGATCATTAAGGCGCGGTCGGCATTTTGTAATGCAGCGGCTTGAAGCGGGCGATCAGATCAGACAATTTTGGGATGAAAATATTTGTTTTGTCCCGCAGATTATTTGGAAACTGTAGTCTTTCTGCATTCCTCTCCTCTCTTTGTTCACATTGGCAGTTTGAAGTGAATCAAATCCTATTTATTTGGATATCCGATTCGAATCTGTACTTTTTCCTGCAGTCTGAATAAATGTGGCTTGATATAAATCTGATTCCTGGCCATGTGAATTGTCTGAATGGTCAAACCTGTTTGATTTGAGAATCACTGTTTTTAAAACCATTTTTAAAGGTTATTTTTGCACATTGAAATAGGGCACAACATTGCTGTGACCATGGCTGGCAAGTGAGCTGCGTCGTCACATATGCCTGAATTAATATTGCGGGACTGCGGTTGGGTTAGGGATCTGTTCTTGCGGTAGTGGGTTGGAGTCGGACAGAAAGCTGCAGGTGCAGGATGAATAAATCAGTCCTGTCGCAGACCTCTAGCCAGGGGCACACTCCAACCCTCAGACACATTTACAAACGAAGCATCTCTACTGCCAGATCAGAGGCAGTAGGGATGACTCTTGATAAGTGTGTGAATTGGATACTTTTCCTGACCTACTAAGCATAAAAAATATAACGAGTAATTTTGGATGTCAGGGGAAATGTGTGTAGTAAAAAGTACATTATTTTCATTAGGAATTCAGTGAAGCAAAACTAAAAGTTGTCAACTATAAATAGTCAAGTACAGATACCCCCCCCCCCCCCCAATAAAACGACTTAAGTAGTACTTTAAAGTATTGTTACTTAAGTACTTATGCCACTGCATTTAAGATACAGCACTTGACTTTATACCTGGCCTTTACTACAGTCGCTTGTGTGGCCATTAGCCCTATGTGTTATTTCTCACAACAGTCAAATAAGATGTCATATTTCACAACTTGGTGTGTTGATTTTCTAGCCTGTCTGTGCCACTAGTCTGGACAGGAGTCCATTGTAAATGCAGTATTCATGCAGAAATTTGCTGTTCTTTGATTGGTTCTCATGCATTGTTTGGATTTGTAAATCCAGCAGTTGTATTGGAAGGGAGCTGCGCTAGGGGGCTGTGTGCGGTTGGTGTTTGGGTGATCGATACAGAGGAGAACCAATCAATAAAAAAGCACTTATGCTTTATTATCGAGGCATCATGCAGACATAAAAATAAGCATGTTCCATTTGATTTCAATAATTTTTACCACACCCCTTTTGATTTGAATGAAACTTTCCATACATACAGTATTTGCCCATGGTAGAAGTGGTCCGAAAGTGACTTTTTGGACCTGAATGCCAAAACATTCAGGAGATAGAGGTGCTTAAAGTTGGCCCATTTTGTATACCCCATTCATAGACGCAAACTACTTTAGTGCTTATTGACGATAGTAACTTCTGACCAGGGGAGTTTTGTTAAGACACCCCGACGCTTGCTCTGCTCTAAACATTAACACGCAATCGATTGCGTGTTCTGTTTTGGAAATGCTTATCGGCAAGAGGGAAAACAACCAAACTACTACACACCTTTTATTGAGTTACGGTTAGTGTTCCCACACGGCCATATCTCCATGCTACAGTGCTTGTTTACGGAAGACAGAGGCGGCCACTTGTGCTAATTAGCTATCTAGTGTGCTCCGTACACCTGTGTGACCTACTGCCAAATTCTCTAAAACGATGTTGGAGGTGGCTTAAGGTAGAGAAATTAACATTCAGTTCTCTGGCAACAGCTCTGGTGGACATCCCTGCAGTCAGCATGCCAATTGCACGCATCTGTGGCATTGTGTTGTGATAAAAACTGCAAGTTTTAGTGGTCATTTATTGTCCCCAGCACAAGGTGCACCTGTGTAATGATCATTCGATCATTGGATTCGGCTATTTCAGCCACACCTGTTGCTGACAGGTGTATACAATCGAGCACACAGCCATGCAATCTCCATAGACAAACATTGGCAGTAGAATGGCCTTAATGAAGAGCTCAGTGACTTTCAACGTGGCACCGTCATAGGACGCCACCTTTCCAACAAGTCAGTTCGTCACATTTCTGCCCTGCTAGAGCTGCTCCGGTCAACTGTAAGTGCTGTTTTATTATGAAGTGGAAACGTCTAGGAGCAAAAACTGCTCAGCCGCGAAGTGGAAGGCCACACAAGCTCACAGAACAGTAGTGCTGAAGCACGTAAAAATCGTCTGTCCTTGATTGCAACACTCACTACAGAGTTCCAAACTGCCTCTGGAAGCAACGTCAACATAAGAACTGTTCGTCGGGTGCTTCATGAAATGGGTTTCCGTGGCCGAGTAGCCGCACACAAGCCTAAGATCACCATGCGCAATGCCAAGTGTCGGCTGGAGTGGTGTAAAGCTCGCCGCCATTGGACTCTGGAGCAGTGGAAACGCGCCAATGCATAGTGCCAACTGTAAAGTTTGGAGTAGGAATGATGGTTCGGGCTAGGCCCCTTAGTTCCACTGAAGGGAAATCTTGACGCAACAGCATACAATGACATTCTAGACAATTCTGTGCTTCTAACTTTGTGGCAACAGTTTGGGAAAGGCCCTTTCTTGTTTCAGCATGACTGTGCCCCTATGCACAAAGCGAGGTCCATACAGAAATGGTTTGTCGAACGGTGTGGAAGAACTTGACTGGCCTGCACAGAGCCCTGACCTCAACCCCATCGAACACCTTTGGGATTCATTGGAACGCTGACTGCGAGCAAGGCTAATCACCCAACATCAGTGCCCGACCTCACTAATGCTATTGTGGCTGAATGGAAGCAAGTCCCCGCAACAATGTTCCAACATCTAGTGGAAAGCAAAGGGGGGACCACCTCTATGTAAATGCCCATGATTTTGGAATGAGACGTTTGATGAGCAGGTGTCCACATACTTTTGGTCATGTAGTGTATGTAGATCTCTGGTGTAAATGGGAAGGTGCATGCAGCACAGAAGGAGCGAAGGAGACAAGACCAAAAAGACAACGTGAGAAGAAGCAGATAGAAACGGCAATAAAATAAATAAATAGATTATTGCGATAGACTTTAGGAATTTTGGAATATTGCTCAAAAACATGAATCCAATTAATGTAATATTGCCCAGCGCTATTCTAAACTGTAAAACACAGCATCAAAATTGTAGTTTACACAGAGCCAAATGTGGGCGAGTGTAATGGCTGAAAACCCTACATCTGGTTTACGCAAAGATAATTGACGTTTTTAAGGTAAAAAAAAAATGGGGGGTTCATCTAGAAATTGTTTGACAATAATAATAATAATATGCCATTTAGCAGACGCTTTTATCCAAAGCGACTTGCAGTCATGCGTGCATACATTTTTGTGTATGGGTGGCAATCCTGTTTGTAAAGTTTTAAATGATCTCAAACTCACCCGTTTAATATTTTCCAATGAAGAAGACGGATGCCTCATGGTATCGTGGGGTGTGCAAAATGGGTCAACGTTGAGCACCTTTATTTTCTGAACATTTTGGCGTTTAGGTCCGAAAAGTCAAGTCCACTTCTATGTATGGAAAGTTTAACTCAAATCAAAAGGGGTGCGGTCAAAAAGTGACTCTGAAGTCAGGAAGACTTTGAGTTATGTGTCAGCCAGACTATTGGTTTTCCCCATCTTGATCATTGTTTTCCATTTTCATTCCCTCAGAGTATATCTGTTTTTACTGTAGTTGGGTGTGTAACTTGTGTCTCTGTGTTGCAGAGTGGCTGTTTGACTGCACAGTGCAGAAGCTGGTGCTGGTGATCACATGTCTGAAGACCAACGAGGTACTGGAGAGGTGGCAGTTTGACATTGAGTGTGACAAGAGTGCCAAGGAGATCAGGTAATGGAAGATACTCCAGCAGTGTTCCTGACTACCACACACACACTACACTACTTTGAACATGGTGGACTATATGTAGCCTTCTGGTACTTCTCACCAGGCTACTCGGAACACTGTCATACTTTGAGAATGTGGGTACTTTTTATGACGAGGTAATCAGTTAATGCCCTTTGGCTATTTTGTTGCATTTGCTATTTCACCGCTTGCCAATGTTGACTTTTCCTATCATGCAGACCGCTGCAGTTAGGACAAGGTTAAGTCATGCCAGACCACTTGGTGCAATAGTATGGTTTGACATTGAGAGTAAATGTGTTGTCTTTTTGTATCTCTTCTCTCAGTGCTCCCAGGGAGAAATCCATCAAGTCCATCCAGGATGAGATTCGCTCAGTCATCAGACAGATCACCGCCACTGTCACCTTCCTACCCCTGCTGGAGACTGCCTGTGAGTACCGTGTGTGTGAACCAGTGTTGCCGTTAATTGGCGGCTTTTGGCCAATAAAAAGGCAAAGAAACCAAAATATTGCCGGGCACATTGTGTGCCAGAAAATATCCTGATGAAAACAAATATCCTATGTGGGTCTTTCTAGAAATAATGAGGCCAATGTGTGACATTGGGATAAAAGTATTGTGAAACAAAAAATTAAATGATTTTCATGCAGTTCCACATGTGTACTTTGAGGAATAAAAGTGAATTGACCCATAACTCCACCTATACAACAGAATGGGCCTAGATCTATACATCCTTTAAGCAGGGCTCATACAGACATTGGCAAGTCAAATTCAGGGACTTTTTCAAGCACTTAATTGTAATTATAAGGGAGCAGGAGAACTTATAAATTGGCTACAATAATTACAAGGACTTTTCAAGCACCAAATTGAGGAAATGTCTGATTTTTGAAGGTAGGCCTATTCCAGTACTTGAATTTCTGAGCTTCAAGTTCAAGTAGGCTACATCAAGCCCCTTGTATTGTTTAAAATTGCAAGTGTAACAGGGAAAGCAAAATGTATTTGTCATGTTATTTCATTACCACTAGGCTATGTAATTTGTCATTATATCCAGAATAATTCATAGGAATAGCGTTGGGTGTTGTGCAATAGTCTATCCTACACAATTGTGCACAGTGGACTCTCGGTGTCCGATCCGAGGCACAAAAACATGAACACATTACCTTGATACTTTATCTGTTAAATCTAACGAGACCCTGCTGTAAGTCAAGCAGACAACAACAGATGATCAACATCAATTTGCAAGGGATATTAGATCAAATGTGGATCCAGGAACCACTGTCTTCACCAGCGTAAAGAATGAGACAAATATTCTGGACATTCCTCGCGAACACATTTTTTCAGATGCAACAACAGCTGTTCGACACTTGACTGTCATTCGAGGAAAAAATCCGTCCTGGATCAGATGTGTGAAAATCTCAGCTGGACACCAAATGCGCATCCAACAAGTATTTTGCATAATTATTGAAGAACCACTTTAATGACAGTATCGATTTAGGTTTTAAGTATCAAGGTAAGATGACTATCGGGTAGAAGCATTCGTTTTTGCAATCACATTTATTATTTTTGGATTTGTGTGCCCATGAAAACAGCTTTGAGCCCATAACATAAGGAGACTATGTTCCATAGCTCCCGAGTGGCGCAGTGGTCTAAGGCACTGCATCGCAGTGCTAGCTGTGCCACTAGAGATCCTGGTTCGAATCCAGGCTCTGTCGTAGCCGGCCGCAACCGGGAGACCCATGGGGCGGCGCACAATTGTCCCAGTGTCGTCCAGGGGAGGGGAGGGAATGGCCGGCAGGGGATGTAGCTCAGTTGGTAGAGCATGGCGTTTGCAACGCCAGGGTTGTGGGTTCGATAAAAATAATGTATGTGCTAACTGTAAGTCGCTCTGGATAAGAGCGTCTGCTAAATGACTAAAAATGTAAATGTAAAATAGCTGCACTGCGTTTTTCAGATCGCTATACAAAAAACTGTCCGACAGCTAGATCCAGGATTCTTACAGGGTTCAAATTCAATGTCTAATTTAACTGATTTAATGCTGAAAATATGTTATAACGTCAATTTACTACATAAATGCAAGGACAGAAAAGTAATGTTTTGTCACACGATTTTGGACAAATCTGTCTAGACACCAACTATGATAAAGGGTTAAACGGGTTTTAAATAAACGTGTGAATTTTATTGGATAAAGCGATGACCCTCCCCCTTATATCGCAATGTAATGACATAAAAATTATATTTTTATTTATTTTTAAAAAAGGCAGATTATTATCAATGATTTATCAACAGCTGTTACTAAACTAAAAATAAACGTCCTCTCACTGTCAACTGCGTTTATTTTCAGCAAACTTAACGTGTAAATATTTGTATGAACATAACAAGATTCAACAACTGAGACATAAACTGAACAAGTTCCACAGACATGGGACTAACAGAAATTGAATAATGTGACCCTGAACAAAAATAACAGTCAGTATCTGGTGTGGCCACCAGCTGCATTAAGTACTGCAGTGCATCTCCTCCTCATGGACTGCACCAGATTTGCCAGTTCTTGCTGTGAGATGTTACCCCACTCTTCCACCAAGGCACCTGCAAGGTCCTGGACATTTCTGGGGGTAATGGCCCTAGCCCCTCACCCTCCGATCCAACAGGTCCCAGACGTGCTCAATGGGATTGAGATCCGGGCTCTTCGCTGGCCATGGCAGAACACTGACGATCAGCCGTCCCTCCTGTCTCCCTGTAGCGCTGTCTTAGGCATCTCACAGTACGGACATTGCAATTTCATTGCCCTGGCCACATCTGCATGCCTCCTTGCATTATGCCTAAGGCACATTCACGCAGATGAGCAGGGACCATGGGCATCTTTCTTTTGGTGTTGTTCAGAGTCAGTAGAAAGGCCTCTTTTAGTGTCCTAAGTTTTCATAACTGTGACCTTAATTGCCTACCGTCTGTAAACTGTTAGTCTTAACGACCGTTCTACAGGTTCATGTTTATTTAATTGTGTATGGTTCACTGAACAAACATGGGAAACAGTGTTTAAACCCTTTACAAGGAAGATCTGTGAAGTTATTTGGATTTTTACGAATTATCTTTGAAAGACAGGGTCCTGAAAAACTGACGTTTCTTTTTTTACTGGGTTTAGTTGTCCAGTGTAGGAAATCCTCACTGGGTTATAGAAAGATCCGTATACATCACTTTAGCTATGCATGGAGGTTGGTTCAAGTTCTCTTTCAGTCACATCTCTCTACTGTCTGTCACGCAGTGAAGTTTTCTGGTATTTTATGTTTTGCTAGATTATTCTCCCTAAAGAGAAATTACAGAAATGTCATGCAAATCCACCAATGAGGATTATTTAGATTAAACTATTTTTCTTCCCCCTCTAATGCCTGGTCAAGTAGTTACCTTAAAAATGATAAGAACCGTGAAAATTAAGTAAGTTAACTAACTACTGGAGGCACATACAAGAGGCAAAATAAATCGATCGAGAATATTGACATGGCAGATCGGCAGAGGGAGACGTGCATTGTGCAAAGAGCCAATGTTTACTTAGTAGGCTATCATTCCTATTTGCATAATTATTGCAGTCACTTCCATGTGGTGTTAATGGCATTGGGCACTCCCCCCTCCCCCTAAAAAAAGCATTACCCTATACGTGACGGCATTAAAATGGGTTTCTTTTTTATGGCTGGTTTACTCTAGCCGGACATTTGACAACGCTGCCTGGTGCGCCTTGATAACCCTTGACCTTTCTCCCCAGGTGCCTTTGACCTCCTCGTCTACACTGACAAGGACCTGGAAGTGCCGGACAAGTGGGAGGAGTCGGGCCCCCAGATCATTGACCAGTCGGAGGAGGTTCGCCTGCGCTCCTTCACCACCTCTATCCACAAGGTCAATAGCATGGTGGCCTACAAGAGGACCGACTCAGCCTAGAACCAGACCGCTAACCTACGACCCCCCCTGTACATAGTTAACTCTCACTGCCTCCTCTCCCCTGCTGCGTACTATAGACATGTTGGGGATTGACTACAACTGATCTACAAGTCATACTCTGTAGTCATTTAGGATGCAAGGTGATTTGTAGATGAGTCAGTTTGGAGTCGCAGACTGCAATCTCAAACGGCACAATGGATATGAAAACAAATGTTACACTGCCCTCTCCTCCCTTCGCAACTCATGTCTCTCTCATATCTTTCTTTAAATACAGTGCCTTCGGGAAACTATTCAGACCCCTTGACATTTTTCCACATTGTTACGTTACAGCCTAATCTAAAATTCATTAAGTTTTTTTTTTCCCTCATCAATCTACACACAATACCCCATAATGACAAAGCAAAACAGTTTTTTTTTCTTTTTACATTTTGCTAATTTATAACAAACGGAAATATCACATTTACATAAGTATGTAGACCCTTTACTTTGTTGAAGCACCTTTGGCAGTGATTACAGCATCGTCTTCTTGGGTATGACGCTACAAGCTTGGCACACCTGTATTTGGAGAGATTCTCCCATTCTTCTTTGCAGATCCTATCAAGCTCTGTCAGGTTGGATGGGGAGCGTCGCTGCACAGCTATTTTCAGGTCTCTCCAGAGATGTTCGTGTCCGGGCTCTGGCTGGGCCACTCAAGGACATTCAGAGACTTGTCCCAAAGCCACCCCTGCGTTGTCTTGGCTGTGTGCTTAGGGTTGTTGTCCTGTTGGAAGGTGAACCTTCACCCCAGTCTGAGGTCCTGAGCGCTCTGGAGCAGGTTTTCATCAAGGATCTCTCTGTACTTTTCTCTGTTAATCTTTGCCCCATCCTGACTAGTCTCCCAGTCCCTGCCGCCTGATGATGCTGCCACCACAATGCTTCACTCTAGGGATGGTGCCAGGTTTCCTCCAGACGTGACGCTTGGCATTCAGGCCAAAGAGTTCAATCTTGGTTTCATCAGACCATAGAATCTTGTTTCTCATGGTCCGAGAGTCTTTAGGTGCCTTTTGGCAAACTCCAAGCGGGCTGTCATGTGCCTTTTACTGAGGAGTGGCTTCAGTCTGGCCACTCTACCATAAAGGCCTGATTTGGTGGAGTGCTTCAGAGATGGTTTTCCTTCTGGAAAAATCAGTTTGGCCGGATGGCCAGCTCTAGGAAAAGTCTTGGTGGTTCCAAACTTAGTCCATTTAAGAATGTTTTCTTGGGGACCTTCAATGATGCAGACATTTTTGGGTACACTTCCCCAGATCTGTGCCTCGACACAATCATGTCTCAGAGCTCTAAGGACAATTCCTTCGATAATGCAGTTGACATTTACTGTCAACAGTGGGACCTTATATAGACAGGTGTGTGCCTTTCCAAATCAATTGAATTTACCACAGGTGGACTCAAATCAAGTTGTAGAAACATCTCAGGGATGATCAATGGAAACCGGATGCACCTGAGCTCAATTTTGAGACACATAGCAAAGGGTGTGAATACTGTAAATCAGGTATCAGTTTTTAATTTGTAATACATTTGCAAAAATGTGTAATGTTTTTGCTTTGTCTTTATGTGGTATTGTGTGGAGATTGCTGAGGATATTTTACAAATGTAATCCATTTTAGAATAAGGCTGTAACGTAACAAAATGTGGGAAAAGTCAAGGGGTTGGAATACTTTATACTGATTATTCTGTCCTGTCTTTTTCTCTGTGTATCGGTATGCTTTGTTCTTCCTGGGTCACTGCTTTGATGTAAATATTGCCTGTAAGTGGTCACTGATCCATTTTGCGTAAAAATTGTTTCCTTGTCATCTGTCCAGTTCTGAGCCTCTCTGTTTTAAAAGCTAGTGGTTTATGTGTTGTATTTTTAAGAAATATTCCTCAAATATATAAAAGGATCCATTTGATTGTCCTCAAGTCTCATCTGTGTTACTACTGCAATTGCCCAGAAGGTGGCGGAGTAACAAGTTGTAGGCCTGGTTAGATATTATCTCTGTAAATGTAAAATAAATGGTTGTTTAGACAAGTATGACGTTATCCAATGTTTGTTTGCACAGATGACATAGCACATAGAAAAGAAGCAGGATCCTTTAATGGGACGTACCATTCAACTTGTCTCAATGTTCTTCAGAGTCAACAAGAGCAGGAGGGGGAAACCCTTCATGTCTTCACACGTAAATGTCATATTACATTACCTCAGCCTCCACTAACAACCAACAGGGCTGCTGTCCTGTGACTACTAAACTGTGACTGTGCCTTCACATGCAACACACAGGTCTATGATTGGTGGAGAAGTAACACATGATCATATTTTCTAACCAATTAGAGACTAAAGCCGTGTGGAGTGGAATTGAAGCAAGAAAAGCAACTCACCTAATTTAAGCACAAATTCAGGAACAAGTATACAGTACTTCTGGAGACTTCTTCAAGTACAAAATACAACCACAGTAACAACTGTGGTCCTCGAGTGACCACGTACTTCTACACAGATAAGTGCTGCAGTTAGGACATGGTTAAGTAACATTTGGATGAGTTTTTCCTGTGAATGACAGTGATGCAGTCCACGTATCTGTACCTGAAAACTACTATAGTATATTGTGTGAATGTTGGAGGCAGAAAGTTTAGAAAAAGGACAAGTCATTTTCTGATTGAAAGATAGTGAGTGGGTAGTTACTCAGTCATGTCATTCCCTGAATCTGAAGAAATAATTATATATAATGCCATTTTAAAATGTTCCACTATAAAGACGAATGCAAATTACCTCAAGGTAGACTGACAACAGTGCAAATTGATTTTGTGCTTCGACTGTCAAGCGCTGCTTTCAACTTGATTTAAAGACACCCCAGCCTCACATTTACATTTAAGTCATTTAGCAGACACTCTTATCCAGAGCGACTTACAAATTGGTGCATTCAACTTAGAATAGCCAGTGGGACAATCACACATTCAACACGTTTAAAAAAGGAAACACCTGCTGGGCTGGTCCATTATGAGGGCCTACAGGGGGGCGGACAAGTGTCTACATACAAATGGGTAATTTTGAAGTGTGAATTGGACCTTTTCATGTCACAGGAAGGCAGTGGAATCTTCTAGACCACGTGTCTAGTCTTTGGCTCCTTAACAATTTGCAAAGTTCAAATAATACAACACCTAAAAATACACATGAATGGATGGTTGAGTAAAGTTTTCAAAGCAGAGACATTTGGATCATTTGGTAATAAAACATACATTGTTTTATAAAGATGTGTGTTCTCAACATGAAACTGACGTTACAGTATAGAAATCTAATAAATATATAAAACAAATAAATATGCAATAGTTATAAGTGACAATGTTACAAAAGATGAACGTTCTCTTAAAACCTTGGTAGTGTGTGGCATGTGCGTGTTCACCCTGGTATTACTAACAAGCCATTGTGGTGCTGTGTGGTGTGTAGAAAGTAAAGTTGTACCCATACTAAGACCTGGGTTCAAATAGTATTTGTAATCTTTAATTGAGCTTGCCTGGTGCAATGGCACCAATGGAATAGTCCATTGTACAAATCCTGCCATGTCCATCTGGCACTCCGGGCAAGCTGAAATTATTTGAGAGATTTCAAATACTGTTTGAACCCCTGTCTGTACAGTACTATGGTGTCATATTGATCCCTTGGTGCTCAGTAGGCCGATAGTAGCCGCGCACACACTCTCTTCTCTCCTGTTCAGTCTACTTCACTTCCTCAGACTCAGGGATATACTATAGTGAGACCTCCTTCATGTAGGAAGTCGACTTTGTGCAAAAATAAAAAAAGACTATGGTAATAAATATAGCTTAGTGTTGACGTCTTCTGCTCGGGGGGTGGAGGTGGGGTGGTGTAGGGATGGAGTGATAGTGGGGATGGAGGAGGGACGTTAACCATTTCTACACCGCTCCGTTGAAAAAGCCTTTGTCGCCCTGTTCAGCCAGAATCTTCCAATTCTGTCTGTTCTTCTGGCAGCCCTCGAGTAGTGGGGAACAGGACTCAGACATGCCAGCCAAGGTCTGATGGACAGACAGACAGAGAGAGAGGGGGACAGGGACAATGAGAGCGCACCTTCTTTGTGTCAGTGTTTACATGTCATATGGCCAATTACATTTTTCTTAAACATGACAAATAAAGATCAATCAATCATTTCTGAGCCTCACCTCATACAGCTGTGTACAGATGGCATCGATGAACGATACCTGCATGCTCGGAATCTTATCCCGCTTTTCCCGATTCATCAGATCCTAGGAAAGGAAAAACGAACTTCAGATTATTATTTTTGTCCAAATCTAATTTGCTCTGAAATTGATATCTGACTTAGCTTGCCAACTAGTAAAAACCTGGCTTTGCACAAAGCCAGTATGTACACATGCCAAGATATTACAATCAGAATCTTGGAGCCTTGTAATTCAATTTCACAAACCCTGATTTCCAATGGCATTGGCTCAACTGAGCAATGTAATAGTGTCATACTGTATAATAAGTACAGGTAGTAGGGAACAGAAAAAGTGCTTACTATTGGCTCAATGTTGAGTTCTTGTCTCTCCTTGTCCCCTTGCTCAAAGAACTCTGTAGCCACTAGCTCGGCTATCTGCAAGAGAAGATGGATAGAGACAGACAAAAAAGAAAGGGAGCTTTTAAAAGTGCCTCAAAGTGGAATGTTGTTTCAATCGGGTAAAGGACAAATGTAACCCTCTTAGTCTTTCAACAACCGCATGCAGAGTCTGGTTTGCTAGAATACAACCATAGGATTGTATCTGAATAAATGCTTAAGCCAATCTTTGTCCTATTCAGGCTTTTTTGTTTATTCATGTCTTTTGCAGATATCTATGAATTTCAATGGAGGTGTTAACATGAATGTGATGAGGCAGGTTGAGAGGGGATGGAGGCTGGATAGGCAATCATACTCCTGTTATGTGGATCAAAAGTACATTCTCTGTTGCCAATTTTATCTGATACCCCACAATAGCACTCACTCAGCACCCTACAAAGTGTTCCTTGACATTTTTAGCACGGGAATGAGGCAGGAGAGAAATAGCAAGAGAGGAAATAGAGAGAAAGAACGTTTTGAACGGAGCAGCAACCACGCTGTGTTGATGGTCTCTTTCTCTTTCCAAAGGATTAATAAGATCTGACTAGGGCCTCGGGTCCCCAATCAAGGAAGTGTGTGTGTGTGTGTGTGTGTGTGTGTGTGTGTGTGTGTGTGGCAGCCATCTGCGGAACACTGATTGGAGCTGTGTAATCAAGACTAGAGAGCTGTGAGGGGGGGGGGGGGGGGGGTGGTCAGCTGAGGAAAGGAGAGAACCCGGGGGAGGAGAGGAAGGGGGAGAAGGAGAGAATACATGTTTGTACACATCTTGGCTGATGTAGCATCAACTCTAATAATAACATCTACTGAGCTCAACAAAAAATGCATGTATGTGAAAGAGACTGTGCGCGCTGGTGTGTGCACAGAGTTCCTGTTAAGACTGTCCTGAATTGCATTTGTGTGCACGTGTGTGTTCGTATCAGTTCTGTGGGTATTATGTGAGGAGAGGACAGGGCTACAGCTGTTTGTGTCTATCCTCTAATGAGCATCTAGCTCTTTGATCACAAACACACACGGCTAGAGGCCTGTCTGAACCTCTCCCTCCATTGCACCTAGGGAGCCTAATGAGGAACAGGAGAAACAGACTTACACAGGGGAGTTGAAGTGAGACGGGGAGAAGAAGAAAGAAAGCGACAGAAAGAAAGAGATAATCTAATGGGAGAAAAGAAAAGGCATCTAACTGGACAGTCTTACCCTCTTCTGTACTGGCCAGGGCTTGGTAATGGCAGAAATGTCACATGCTGTCATCAGCATTGACCTACAGGGGGTGATAAACCAACACAAAACCATTGTTAGACAAGTATAGAGCTTTACACTGAGTGTTCTTTCCATGACATATACTGAACAAAAATATAAACGCAACAATTTCAAAGATTTTACTGAGTTACAGTTCATATAAGGAAATCAGTGAATTGAAATAAATTCATTAGGCCATAATCTATGGATTTCACATGACTGGGCAGGGGTGCAGCCATGGGTGGGCCTTGGAGGGCATAGGCCCATCCACTGAGGAGCCAGGCCCAGCCAATCAGAATTAGTGTTCCTAATATTTTGTACACTCAAGTATACTATACACCAGGGTTTAGTGACGGGGAAAAAATGGATAGTTACATAACGCGATATAATTGTTTGACAATATTATATCGATACTTTGACTCCAAGTATCGATTTGTACAAAATCATTATATTTATTTTGCTAGGTAGCGTTAGCTAGCGCTAGTCAGCTGTACCTGCACCAAAACTCCAGTATTTTTCATCCTGTAGCTTGTTCTCATCTTCTTTTTAAATAGTGAGTTAACATATTTTCAGCACTTTTTTCCCATGAATAATCAAAACTCCTTTTCTCATGCTCTGCTTTGTCTCTCTGCAGCAGACATAGTGAGCAATATGTTTGAAACATCAAATCGCAATACATATAGAATCGTGAGAATCACAATACATATCTTATCCGCACCTAAGTGTTGTGATAATGTCGTATTGTGAAGTCCCTGGCAATTCCCAGCCCTACCAGGGTTCAGGTCAATTCCACTTCAATCCAGTCAATTTAGAAAGTGAAATAAAAAAAATCCTATTTTCTATGGGGACTTTTTCATTGGGAATGTTTTATTGGGAATTTCAATAGCCTTTCTAAATTGACTGAATTGAAATGGAATTGATCCCAACCTTGACAGACACAAACAATCTGTCCCCAGGTAAATGGTGAAGATGTATACTGTATGTTGTGTCCACTAACCTCAGTAAGTCTTTATGGTAGTCATCGTCCCAGACAAACTGGCTGTTCTTGGTCAGCTCAAAGAACTCTCCTCTCCTCCTGAAAAGATAGACAGATATCCATTTAACTGCATATCTCCCCTCCACCTACAGTCCAGTCATACGCCCACAATTCAGACAGGGAGAGAGGGAAAAAAAAAGAGAGAGAGGGGAGGTGAGATTAGGAGAGGGGGAGAGGGGTGTAAAAAAGAGATACATGTGTGATAGAGATGAGGGGGGAGAGATATAGTAAATCACAGTTTCAGCACATTATCATAAGCTCTTCTAATGAATAGGCCAATGGTTTTCCACTTACACCTTGACATTTTCCACGACCCATCAACCTAAATTGAAGTTATAATGAAAACGAAATAAAATGCGACTTGAATGGGCTGCCTCTGTGAGCGTCCCAGCTGTGTGTGACATTTTACCTACTTCATGTACAGAGCCAGGTCCGTTGCCAGAATAGCCCTCTCGATCATCTTCAGAGTGGCCTTGTACTCATCCAGAGACAGACTGCTCAGAATCTGATTCCCCTGGGGGAGAGGGAGGGAGGGAGGGAGATGGGGGGGGAGAGAGAGAGAGAGAGAGAGAGAGAGAGAGAGAGAGAGAGAGAGAGAGAGAGAGAGAGGCAGGGCGTACAAGTTATTGAGCAAGTTCAACTATAACATGGGTGCCATGGCAACACAAAATCCACAACACTCGAAATCAATTCAACAATTGGATCTGCTCTCCTTATCTTTGCGATGTGTGTGTATAATGGTGTGTGTGTCAACGTGCGTGTATGTGTCTACTACATCCCAGATGAACTAAGTGTTGCCCTCCAGTGAATCTGTTCCCATAAAGATGAAGCGGTGCTTTATTACACCATAGAGGAGCGTTATCTCCTAGAGACTAGCAGCTGGAGCTCATGGGCTGCATCCCAAATGACATATAGTGCACTACTTTTGACAAGGTAGTGAGTGGTAAGAAGCAGTGCACCATATAGGGGATAGGGTGCCATTTGGGACATGAAATTGGCACTAAAGGGGAAATGAGGAAACACTAGCATCCTGCTATGCATCTCAAATACATTATGGTGAATGATGCCGGCCGTCTTGTTGTTCCAAATGAATAAATGCAGAACTGACTGAACGAGTTACGGTAACAGTTTATTTGGATAGCCCATCTGTAGGACGCTCTACAGAATATCAGTAACATTTCAACTAACTATCTACTAACCCTAACCCTAACCTTAACCCCTTATCCTAACCCTAAACTTAACCCTTACCCTAACCCTTTTTCTAAACCTAACCCTAACCGTAACCTTATCAAGCAGTTGCTTATCAACAGATAGTTAGTTGGTGATATCACCACCTGTAGAGCATCTACAGATGGACAATCCGGACTATCCAAATCAAGTGTGATCCGAGTTACTGAGTAAATAATGGAATGAGTGAACAAGTGTGTGTGTGTTTGTTAGTTTGTGTGTGTGCATGCGTGCGTTCGTGTGTTCTTACTGGGCTGTTGAGGATCATGAGACACTGGTCAAAGTGGTGGTGCTCCATGGTGGAGTGGCAGTAGAGCTGGGCCAGGGGATGGTCACTCCTGGTGGAGATTGATACACACAACAACTGTGAGATACACACACACACAGAAAGATACGCACACACACACACACTATTACAGCCTACCTCTGTATGTAGGAGTTGTTGACTCCTCTGTGGTCCAGGTCGTGACTCAGGGTGGCAATCATCAAGGCCAGGATCTCCAGCTCACTCATATTACTCTGACAGACAGAGAGATGGAGGGAGAGAGAGAGGGAGAGAGAGGGAGAGGAGAGGGGGGGGAGAGGAGAGAGCAGAGAGAGAGATAGGGGATGATCGATAGCTCTCGTCATCTCTCTCCCTCTCTCTCTGCCTTCGCGCTGCTCTCTTCTTGTCTCGTGTTTGTCCTACCATAGTCCTCCACAAAGATGTCTTTGGGTTTTCTTACATGACCATAGTACACCCACGACATACACAGACACACCACACACCACACAACACCCCCCCACCCCAAACACAACACACCACACACAACCACACAGCACACACACCACAAACACACCACCCACACCAGCACACAGGCCATAGTAGGCTACCAGCAAATTAACACAGACACAGGTTCACATACGCATACATACACCCACATACATACACCCACACACATACACCCACATACAGTCGTGGTCAAACGTTTTGAGAATGATACAAATACTAATTTTCACAAAGTCTACTGCCTCAGTTTTGATGATGGCAATTTGCATATACTCCAGAATGTCATGAAGAGTGATCAGATGAATTGCAATTAATTGCAAAGTCCCTCTTTGCCATGAAAATGAACTTAATCCCAAAAAAACATTTCCACTGCATTTCAGCCCTGCCACAAAAGGACCAGCTGACAGCATGTCAGTGATTCTCTCGTTAACACAGGTGAGAGTGTTGACGAGGACAAGGCTGGAGATCACTCTGTCATGCTGATTGAGTTAGAATAACAGACTGGAAGCTTTAAAAGGAGGGTGGTGCTTGAAATCATTGTTCTTCCTCTGTTAACCATGGTTACCTGCAAATGTGTACCCATTAATAGGGCGGCAGGTAGCTTAGTGGTTAAGAGCGTTGTGCCAGTAACCGAAAGGTCGCTGGTTCTAATCTCCGAGCCGACTAGGTGAAAAATCTGTCGATGTGCCCTTGAGCAAGGCACTTAACCCTAATTGCTCCTGTAAGTCGCTCTGGATAAGAGCGTCTGATTAATTATTATTATTAATTATTAGGAAACACGTGCCGTCATCATTGCTTTTCACAAAAAGGGCTTCACAGGCAAGGATATTGCTGCTAGTAAGATTGCACCTAAATCAACCATTTATCGGATCATCAAGAACTTCAAGGAGAGAGGTTCAATTGTTGTGAAGAAGGCGTCAGGGCGCCCAAGAAAGTCCAGCAAGCGCCAGGACCGTCTCCTAAAGTTGATTCAGCTGCAGGATCAGGGCACCACCAGTGCAGAGCTTGCTCAGGAATGGCAGCAGGCTGGTGTGAGTGCATCTGCACGCACAGTGAGGTGAAGACTTTTGGAGGATGGCCTGGTGTCAAGAAGGGCAGCAAAGAAGCCACTTCTCTCCAGGAAAAACATCAGGGACAGACTGATATTCTGCAAAAGGTACAGGGATTGGACTGCTGATTGTTTGGGGCATCTGGAAAATACCTTGTCCGGAGAAGACAAGTTGAGCGCTACCATCAGTCCTGTGTCATGCCAACATTAAAGCATCCTGAGACGATTCATGTGTGGGTTTGCTTCTTAGCCAAGGGAGTGGGCTCACTCACAATTTTGCCTAAGAACATAGCCATGAATAAAGAATGGTACCAACACATCCTCCGAGAGCAACTTCTCCCAACCATCCAAGAACAGTTTGGTGACAACCAATGCCTTTTCCAGCATGATGGAGCACCTTGCCATAAGGCAAAAGTAATAACTAAGTGGCTCGGGGAACAAAACATCGACATTTTGGGTCCATGGACAGGAAACTCCCCAGACCTTAATCCCATTGAGAACTTGTGGTCGATCCTCAAGAGGCGGGTGGACAAACAAAAACCCACTAATTCTGACAAACTCCAAGCATTGATTATGCAAGAATGGGCTGCCATCAGTCAGAATGTGGCCCAGAAGTTAATTGACAGCATGCCAGGGCAGATTGCAGAGGTCTTGAAAAAGAAGGGTCAACACTGCAAATATTGACTTTGCATAAACTTAATGTAATTGTCAATAAAAGCCTTTGACACTTATGGAATGCTTGTAATTATCCTTCAGTATACCATAGTAACATCTGACAAAAAATATCTCATAACACTGAAGCAGCGAACTTTGTGAAGACCAATACTTGTGTCATTCTCAAAACTTTTGACCACGACTGTACATTTACCCACACACATTCACCCACATACATACACCCACACACATACACCCACACACATACGCACACATATATCCCTTCCTCTCCACTACCGCGACGAAAGAACACACAGGAGCTTATCACAAGTCATAATTACGACCAATGAGACACAAATGGTTGGGCAAACACACTCACACGGCAACTCTCAACACGCACGCACACACAAACACACAGACACACGCACACACAGAGCACACACACTGTCTGCTTGAGAGAGCAGCTGACACAGTAACTCAACAGTCATTTGTTAGCAACAACGGGAGTGTAACATTTAACCTAGCAGAGTACATGTGGGCTACTTCCTCTGCATAGTCATCAGAACAGAGCTGGGTGTGAGTACTGAGGGGAACTGGGTTAAAGTGGAACTGTGTGTTTGGGATATGTTGAGTTCTGTTTATGTCTGAGACACAGTACTTGCTCAAGTGTCTTCGACTTACTATTCATAATAACAATATTCTTCATAATATCATTTTATATCTGATAACTTTCAGTTAAGATGTCAGAGTAACACATTCAGATGTAGTAGAGAACATTTGGTATTTAAATATGATGGTTACTGGAAGCCAATGCTGACTTGACAAAACACACTGGTCGGACTGACCCGGTTACGGCACAGTTACAGCATGGTGACTCATTAGCCATTGGTCGGACTGACAAACATAAGACGTCCTGCTGGGGTTGATTATTTATTGACTGGACGGAGTGACCCGGCACCCTTGCCATGCTGGCCAATGATTGGCTGAGCTCACCTGTAACTGGCCAGATTTGAACAGGGCGAACATGCACTGGGAGGTGTTGAAGGCATGTCTCCAGTTGTGGTAGGCCACGTTTTTCCTATAGTTCTTCTTTACACTCAGGATCCACTGGCACAGACTCTACAGAGAGAGAGGACGGGGGAACAGAGGGAGTGGGGGAGAGAGGGGATTTGAGGGACCACAGTAGGAGATAGACAAGAAAAAGTGGGGAGAAAGAGGGCGAGATGTGGGGGAGGAGGAGGAGGAAGGGAGGGCAAAAACAGACAAAATGGAAAACAGACAGTGACAGTGAGTATCTGTACATCCTCAAGCAGTAGGCCTTAATAGAATCTGCCCAGCCTGGCAATCTGATTGGCATTATAGAGAAAACATTGACCACACTGCTAATCAAATCAATAGATTCTGTTTATCGGATCTTTATCCAATCTTTCCATGTCCATCCATTTACCGGCATCAGCTTCCAATCAAATCTCATTAGTCAATGCATAGTAGTGACTAACACATTTCACCTGACTTGATAATAATCTAAATGAATTTGATTGGCATTTATGTTGCCCTTTTCTCAACCTCAAAATGCTTTGCATTGTATACTGTTCAAGTCCAATCTATTGTTACTGCTGAAAGAGAAGGTCACTACGGTATGTCTCATACTGTATCCTCTCAATTCGCAATCGTATGGCTGTTCTGAGGTCAGTGATGGTCAACCATGCCTCATAAGATTGCATTGGAGTGATCAGCAAGGTACAGCCTGACACTGAACTAGAGAACTGACCTGCTCTTATTTATACACTTGGGTGGTCAGCGTGTCTGCTCTCACTCACAGAGCTGAAAAAGAACCCGCCGCTGTGTAGGGCCCTCACAGCCAATCAAAGGCTCTCTTTATGAGCCGTCCGCGCCGCGGGCACTCTGAAGGGCAACCGTGCCGTAAAAGGACCTCTTAATAATATATAATGGGGTGAGGGGCTGTATTTTAGGATATAAAAACACGCAGATTTACGTCCACCTGGTATGGCATAGCCCAAGTATACACCCACACTACCTCAAAAACCCCAAAAACACACACCACCAAAAAAATTTTTTAAAGGTTTGGGTTTCAAAATGGTTGGGGGTGGGAAAGGGGAAATAAAAA